CGATCCTAGCGGGGTTACAGGCGCGTTTGCCTGGGGGATTATGGGCGCACTGACCCGCTACTGAAACAAGCCCTTTTATCCTAATGGTCTAGTGGTTGGGATTCTGACATTGCCCATGCCTTTCACATCCGCTCGCTGCCCCAAAGCCGATGTGACATGCTTCACCGGTGACGGTTCGAGTTCGGTGAGCAAGTCTGGGCGAGGTGTCACGCTATAGGTAGTGCCACTATCGATCACCCAATAGTCCAGGGGGTGTAGGGTCACCTTCCCCACAGCTGCTGGCTCCTCAAAGCCTTCATCCTTCTCTGGACCAGTCGGTACTTGCGTCGACACGAAGTAGAATAGACCCGGGTACCGATCGTTGCTCGGGTCCTTGTCATTGTCTCCGCTCTTCATGTTTGCAGCTCCGCCACCGCGACCGCCACAGCCTCCACGGCCTCTTCCTCTCCCTCCTCCTGCTCCTCTACCCTCCTGGCCTTGAGCAGGGGTCCAACCATCAGGGAGCTTGTAGCAATCGCGCCATATATGTCCGCTCTTGTGACAATAATGGCATTCGCCGTCGAATCGGCCGCGACCGCGCCCGTAGCTCTTGTCGTCGCTGCCGTAACCGCCACTCCCGCGGCCTCCGCCGAAGTTGCTGCCACCAAACCTTCGTCCCCCTCGTCCTCTGCCTCTTCCTCGACCATATCCACGACCAATGCTCGCAGCCCCAGCGCCATTCGCACTCGCCAACTCACGGCGGCGGAAATCCTCTTGAAGGATAGCTCGCTTCACGTCTTCGAGCGAGAGGCGGGGCAAGTCGCGATTCAGGTTGATGATGAGCGAGGACCATGATTCGGGGAGTAGGGCCAGCAAATTGGTCTTCTTTTGGAGCTCACTGTAGTTCAAATCCGCTCCCTCAAGCCGCGTCAACAAGTCGAAGAATTTCTGCACCCCTTCTTCAACCGCTTCATCCTCTTCAATGCGTAACGTCGCCATTTGCCGTTCCAACACCATAGCTACCGCCGCTGTTGCAGGAGCGTGTACACCCTTGAGAGCAGCCCATGCCTTTGGTCCCTTGTCTGGTTCACGCTGGAAAGGCTTGATGTGACGGATTTGGCTACTCCCCAACGCTTGCCCAAGTAGGAGGTAGCCTTGTGCGCTCTTCCGCACCCACGGGCTCTTCTCCGGGTCGTCCTCGGGACGCTTCTCCGTTCCTTCCATCACCTCCAGTAGTTCATAGTGGTCAAATATGTTCTCCATTTTGAAGGACCACTCAGCAAAGTTGTCACCATTGAACTTGTCAAGGCCAAACACTCTAGGCTCATCCCTAGATGGGCCAACACTTGGTTGCACGGGCGCCGTGGCTGAGTCACGGGGTTGGCCTTGAGCTTGGGCTTCTCCACTGCCACCAGCACCTCTGCCACCCCTTTCCTCAGGTCCAGCCATTGTCGAAACTGCTCCAAGGGGCTCTGATACCACTTGTTATAGTCACAGTAGGCTCCAATGTGCCTAAAACGAAAGATAGAGTGCACAGTCGGATTTCTGCACAGCGGCTTCAAACGTTCATAACGTTCTGGTCACAGCTTCAAATGACTTGATTCAACTTGGATCTGGAGCGTCTTACTGTCGCCTACACTAAGCAATTTAGATCACGCGATTTGACCAAGTATTGACGACACACTGTTGGTTTGAACGAACGGCACTATGGCAGCCACTATAGTCTTAAAACACAAGATAGGAAGAGTTAGGGAGAGTTACGAGTTGGGAATGACTCCCAGCTCCTACAAACCCCAAGAGCCGAGGTACGGTGATGTGGAACAGTCCCACACTGTCCCCAACCACGAAGGGTCTCGAAACTACCCTTCACTAGGGCCTACACCAAGTGAAATGTTACACTACTCAAAGTAATGTAACTATCTTCAATATCTTGAGGTGTACCCTTTTTCGCGGGCTTCCCGATCACTTGAATGTTGACACCAGGGGCTCGGGTTCTTCATCACAAACTCATCCTTGAGTTCTTGATGGGTCTGCTGCACACACCTGCGACACGCCGAACGTTCGACAAGCGACAAAATAGAAACCGCGCACGACAAAATAGAAACCGCGCGGGACACACAAAATGACCGCGTTACACACGACTAGCGATAATTCGCTATTGACTTGACACACACACTCGACATCATGACCCATCATTCACACACTATTATAAGCATGAAATATATATTTATTTCATGCACTCACTCCATTCCATGCAGACACGCATGCACGCACACGGACAATAAGCCGAGTGCAAACCGTAGGGTTGCACCAACACCTACATCTCCCAATTCACCAAACAACCACGTTTGTCTACCTCTACCTCTAACCCACCTCCCTACATCTCCCAATTCACCAAACAACCACGTTTGTCTACCTCTACCTCTAACCCACCTCCCTCCATCTCCCAATTCACCAAACAACCACGTTTGTCTACCTCTACCTCTAACACACCTCCCTCCATCTCCCAATTCACCAAACAACCACGTTTGTCTACCTCCACCTCTAACCCACCTCCCTACATCTCCCAATTCACCAAACAACCACGTTTGTCTACCTCTACCTCTAACCCACCTCCCTACATCTCCCAATTCACCAAACAACCACGTTTGTCTACCTCTACCTCTAACCCACCTCCCTCCATCTCCCAATTCACCAAACAACCACGTTTGTCTACCTCTACCTCTAACCCACCTCCCTCCATCTCCCAATTCACCAAACAACCACGTTTTTCTACCTCTGCCTCTAACCCGAACCTCTACGTGGGCCTCCTCGTCGCCCTCGCTGCCCCTCCCATGATCGCCTTCCCCGTCGCCCTTTCGCTCACCGTCGCCTTCGCTTCGGCTTCCTGTCCCAATGCCTCACTTGCTCCCACGCCCGCCCTTCTTCCCCCCAATTACCGCCTTCGTCCTTCCCAATCTAGTCTTCCGCTCTACCTATCTCCCTCCTTCCTTCCCTCCCCCATCCCCTCCTTAATCCCTCTCTCCTTCCTTCCCGCACCCTCTCCCCTTCATTTCCTATATACCTTTTTTTTTCATTCCCACTATATCCTTCCCTCCTTCACTTTCTGCCCAAAAACCTTCCTCCATCCCCTAATTTTTCTCCCTCATCCCCCCTACTACTTACTTTCTTCTCACCCGCGACTTGCTCCCTTGTCTACCTCACCCCACTCACCTCTTTCCAACTCCTGATTTACCCCCACATTCCCCCCACCTACCTCTCTCCGCACTTAGCTAACCCCCCACATTCCCCCCACGCACCTCCCTCCACCCCGTGGTGAACCCCCCTCATACGCACCTCCCTCCATCTCCCAATTCACCCTTCCAAAAGGGACCTGCAGGGCGGGAAGGAGGAACGGAAGGGGAGGCGGGAGGAGGCAAGGCAGAGGGGTGGGAGGACAAAGGGAGGGAAGGAGAGGAAAGAGTATTTGGAGGGAAAGAGAAATGGAGACAAGGAGGGAGAGGCATGTGAAGGGGGGTGGGAGGGCCATGACGATAGCAGGTACGTACGTATGCTTCCCGTGCAAGTTGTCCTCGTTTCCCCTGCCCGTTGCCCTTCCTCCCCACACATACTATTCCCTTCTGTCCTCCCACTTACTGCCCTCCCTCATCCAACTATCCTTCCTCCTGACCCCCACTTACCATGCTCCCTCCCTCATTTCCCTCACACACTCTCTCTCTCCTCCCTTCCCTCTTTGCCTATATTATACCTTCACTCTGTCTCCCTGTCTCTTCTTATCTTTTGCCCCACCCCCTTCCGACCCTCCCTTTATACGAGCCTCGCTTTATTCCACCCCCCTTTTTCCCACCCTCCCTCTTCTCCTACCCTCGCTTTTCTTCCACTCTCTGTTTTCTCCCAACCTCCCTTTCTCCCACCCTCCCTTTTCTCCAACCCCCCCTTTTCTCTCACCCTCCATTTTCTCCAACCCCCTCTTTTCCTCCCACCCTCCCTTCTCCCACTCTCCCTGTTCTCCCACCATCCATGTGCTCCCACTGTTTCTCTCCCCCGCCATTTGTATATATGCCTCCGTATTTTTTTCACACTCCCTTCTCACTGCCTCCATATTTCCCTGCGTCCTACCTTTGACCCACCCGATATCCTGCTCTCCATATATTCCACCCTCCCTATATCCGTGCCCCCCAGAAGACATGGACTTACTGCATGGACTTACTGTGCTAGCACATGTCATGCGCTGCACTAGCACATGTCATGCACTGCACTGCGCTAGCAAGGGTCGTGCACTGTCCTAGTGCGAAGGGGTAGTAGGCCAAAGGAGGGGTTTTTTAGGCGCCTCTAGACTAGACGCACTGCACTGCTCTAGCATGGGTCATGCACTGTCCTTGGGCAGGGGAACAGTAGGTGAAAGGAGGGTATTTTTGAGGCGCCCAAAAAATAGACGCACTGTACTGCCCTAGCTTGGATCTTGCGCTGTCTGAGTGCAAGGGACTAGTACTAGGCCAAGGAGTGGCGGTGATGGGATGGTTGGATAAGGGAGGAAACGAGGAGGGCAGCACAGGGGAAGGTCTGACAACCGTAGGGGAAAGGGTAGAGGCTGCCAAGTAGTTATAAACCTACCATCCTGCCCAGGGCTTAACAAGCAAAAGAGTCAGACATGATGCTTTGGATCACAGCACATCATGAACACTACTGCCACCTGCATCTCTCTAGTATATTTGAAACAGTGCATTTTGTTCCATCCATTATCATTAATAATTGCACGTTGACACGGATTTCTCCCTTCTCTCCTCCTCAGAGATCAACTAGCATCCCATGACTAAGCTGACACCACCAACCAACCTCTCCGCTGCATGCAGCTGCATCTACCGTACTACCCCCCTGGGGGCCTGACTCCCTCCCCCTTTCCTTGCAAAGTCGTCAGCATCAACTTCTCTACTATCTTCTCAACCTCCCGTGTTGTCATAACACATTGGCTCCCCGTGTTGCTCACTTCCTGTGTTGCTTACTACAGTCTTCCGAAGACTCTACGCAGCAATGGCGTTCACCATGGCAATGGACGGGTTCCTCCAACCCGCAGGCACCGCATTGAACCCATACCCACCCTTGGCCAGCTTCCCGATCATGAACTGCATGAACGCCTTGGCGATCTTCCCGCCAGTCACGCCAGTCAGCGACTTGCGGATGAACCCGTATTCCATGGACACCATCGCAGGGGTCTTCGCTCCGCCCCTCCAGATGAAATCCACGTTGCTCCAGGACCCGTCGGCTGCGGGAGGCGCGCCCACGAGCGCCGCGCCGGGGACCCATGACGGCGGCGCGACGGCGACGCCGGCGGCGTTCTTGAGCGCGGCGATCACGCGCTTCGGGTTGTTGGGCTTCCTGGCGTTGAAAGGCACGACGCTGCAGCCGCCGGTGAAAGCGTAGCCAATCGCGCCCCTGGTTTTCAGCACCGCGGCGCACACGGCGCTCGTTCCCTCCACCTTGGTGACGCCGGCGTAAGCCATGGCCGTGCCGTCCGTGCCGCCGCTGTACCCGGACACAGCCTTAGACCACATGGTCTTGACAATGGCGGTGCTGCCGGACTTGTCGCTGCGCCCCACGGGAGTAATGGTGCCCGCAACCTTGCCGACCGCGCCGGGAACGGCCGACCAGGCGGAGATGGCGCCACTGTAAATCTGGAACGTCTGCGTGGCCGTGAGCACGATTCCGGGCTTTCCGTTTACGAAGAAGCTGAAGGTGGAGACGCAGAGCGGCACGGTGATCTTGCCGCTGGCGACGACGCCGCCCTCTTGCGCCGCGGTCATGGGATCATCGGAGACGGCAATGAGGTAGGTTCCGCCGTTGAAGCCGGTGATTCCGGTGCCTGATCCCACAGAGTCGTATGCAACGACGTCCTGGGAGATTCCCGGCTTGGCCGCGTTCCATGCCTTGATGATCGCCCCGCCAGCCTGGAATGTGGCATATATCACGACGGGGATTCATTTTATTGGAACATTTTTTTGTACGACGCTGTGGATTCACGGCATGCTGGAAATCATGATGCTGACTTTGTGATGACATCACAAAAACCCCTCGTTTTTGAATCGCTTGGAAACGGGTCGAATTGGTTTCGGAAGTTGGGTTGCGTGGGTTGTCCAACCTTTTTCGCCCAACCACCAGCGTAAATGTGTCATTCTCAGATTTCGATCTGCTTTCGCGCATCCGAACCGACTCGCGAGACATTGTGCGCCTCGGCGAACCGAAATTGGCCCAATTTCGGTCAATGTCAGGTGTACAGTGCTCTTTTGACCAGGTTGAAAAAGCAGTTTCGAGAATGGGGTGCATTGGTTTCCCGCAAATATTTCTGGGTCACCGAGCCACAGCTTTGCTTGGCGCACGACGAGACGTGGCGATAGGGTGCGTTTGGGCCCTGCAAAAATGGTCTCGCATAGGAGTAATTATGGACCAAGATGAGCCTACAGTGTTTCTTGAAAACAAATTTTACATCAAGTCAAAGTTATGTCTTATAATATTGAAAGGCTGCTGGTTAAACAATCACATGTGCATGTACATATATACCATGTACAGTCATTAGTTGTTATTGCATGTAATCTTGCCTCTTAATACAAAACAGGTTTGGTTGCCTATGAAAAAGTACAGATGCGCGTAGGATTTATATCTAATTTAGCATGTACTTGTTAAGATAGAATGCATTTTCGCAGTGGTAAGACTTGATAATGTGCACCTGGCGCAGTATGCTTTCAGTGTCAATCACTGAGTAGCGCGATACCCCAGTTGCCCACCTAAGACGTTTGCACCCTGTTTTTGCATCCTCGCCTGCGCTTGACCAGTACTTCACATATGCCCACTCCTTCGTGCACCCTCTCTCTTTCGTATGGAACATCAACAAGAGCCTTCCGTACCACTCCGTCTCTTCACCTGTCGCTGTTGTTCCCACGATGGCAACATCAGAGAACCACGGCCTAGAGTGAGACAGCGGGGTTGCTTTCACGAAATGTGCTACACGGGCGAAACTCGCATCTTCTGCAGCAGGGATGGCAAGTGTTGTGTGAGCCTGCAACCAGTAAGAGACACAAATCATTACAAAGTAACATTCAGTTACATATGGTATCTGCTTCATGTCACCATTGTCACCACTTACACGAACTTTCGTTGGCCTCAGCTGGCGTCGAAGCAATGCACCCGCAAAGGCATGGTGTGCCTCGCTGTGGAGCTTCGCCCACTCACGGACAAACCAGTTGGCAATGGGAGTGACGTCATCGGGTTTCACGTGGAAGAAGTAGGACTCCTTCACCATCACCCGAGCTCCATCCTCGATGGCCTGGCACGTGTCAGAAAAGGCAGAGATTGGAAAAAAAGCACACCATTCTCCCCCTTCGTTTGCTCCCCTCCCTGCCCTGCACTTCCTCTTTCACTGCCCCCTCCCCTGCCTTGAGCTAACTCTTCCCCTGCTACCCACCAAGGACCTGCCGGCAAACTTTCCATGCCACCCAGCCCGAGCTGTCCCGCCAGGCACTCCTACTCACCGCATTCACCATCTCAGCACTCACCCTCCCATCACCGCACTCACCATCTCAGCACTCACCCTCCCATCTCAGCACTCACCCTCCCCTCACATCACAGCACTCACCATCTCAGCACCTCCCCTCACAGCACTCACCATCTCAGCGCCTCCCCTCACAGCACTCACCATCTCAGCACCTCCCCTCACAGCACTCACCATCTCAGCACCTCCCCTCACAGCACTCACCATCTCAGCACCTTCCCTCACAGCACTCACCATCTCAGCGCCTCCCCTCACAGCACTCACCATCTCAGCACCTCCCCTCACAGCACTCACCATCTCAGCACCTCCCCTCACAGCACTCACCATCTCAGCACCTCCCCTCACAGCACTCACCATCTCAGCACCTCCCCTCACAGCACTCACCATCTCAGCACCTCCCCTCACAGAACTCACCATCTCAGCGCCTCCCCTCACAGCACTCACCATCTCAGCACCTCCCCTCACAGCACTCACCATCTCAGCACCTCCCCTCACAGCACTCACCATCTCAGCACCTCCCCTCACAGCACTCACCATCTCAGCACCTCCCCTCACCGCACTCACCATCTCAGCACCTCCCCTCACAGCACTCACCATCTCAGCACCTCCCCTCACAGCACTCACCATCTCAGTGCCTCCCCTCACAGCACTCACCATCTCAGCACCTCCCCTCACAGCACTCACCATCTCAGCACCTCCCCTCACAGCACTCACCATCTCAGCACCTCCCCTCACAGCACTCACCATCTCAGCACCTCCTCTCACAGCACTCACCATCTCAGCACCTCCCCTCACAGCACTCACCATCTCAGCACCTCCCCTCACAGCACTCACCATCTCAGCGCCTCCCCTCACAGCACTCACCATCTCAGCACCTCCCCTCACAGCACTCACCATCTCAGCACCTCCCCTCACAGCACTCACCATCTCAGCACCTCCCCTCACAGCACTCACCATCTCAGCACCTCCCCTCACAGCACTCACCATCTCAGCACCTCCCCTCACAGCACTCACCATCTCAGTGCCTCCCCTCACAGCACTCACCATCTCAGCACCTCCCCTCACAGCACTCACCATCTCAGCACCTCCCCACACAGCACTCACCATCTCAGCGCCTCCCCTCACAGCACTCACCATCTCAGCACCTCCTCTCACAGCACTCACCATCTCAGCACCTCCCCTCACAGCACTCACCATCTCAGCACCTCCCCTCACAGCACTCACCATCTCAGCACCTCCCCTCACAGCACTCACCATCTCAGCACCTCCCCTCACAGCACTCACCATCTCAGCACCTCCCCTCACAGCACTCACCATCTCAGCACCTCCCCTCACAGCACTCACTATCTCAGCACCTCCCCTCACAGCACTCACTATCTCAGCACCTCCCCTCACCGCACTCACCATCTCAGCACCTCCCCTCACAGCACTCACCATCTCAGCACCTCCCCTCACAGCACTCACCATCTCAGCACCTCCCCTCACAGCACTCACCATCTCAGCACCTCCCCTCACAGCACTCACCATCTCAGTGCCTCCCCTCACAGCACTCACCATCTCAGCACCTCCCCTCACGGCACTCACCATCTCAGCACCTCCCCACACAGCACTCACCATCTCAGCGCCTCCCCTCACAGCACTCACCATCTCAGCACCTCCTCTCACAGAACTCACCATCTCAGCACCTCCCCTCACAGCACTCACCATCTCAGCACCTCCCCTCACAGCACTCACCATCTCAGTGCCTCCCCTCACAGCACTCACCATCTCAGCACCTCCCCTCACAGCACTCACCATCTCAGCACCTCCCCTCACAGCACTCACCATCTCAGCGCCTCCCCTCACAGCACTCACCATCTCAGCACCTCCCCACACAGCACTCACCATCTCAGCGCCTCCCCTCACAGCACTCACCATCTCAGCACCTCCTCTCACAGCACTCACCATCTCAGCACCTCCCCTCACAGCACTCACCATCTCAGCACCTCCCCTCACAGCACTCACCATCTCAGTGCCTCCCCTCACAGCACTCACCATCTCAGCACCTCCCCTCACAGCACTCACCATCTCAGCACCTCCCCTCACAGCACTCACCATCTCAGCGCCTCCCCTCACAGCACTCACCATCTCAGCACCTCCCCTCACATCACTCACCATCTCGGCACCTCCCCTCACCGCACTCACCATCTCAGCACCTCCCCTCATCGCACTCACCATCTCAGCGCCTCCCCTCACAGCACCTACCTTTTGCATAGCCGTTTGCACGCCTTGGTCGGTGGCCACGTTGCTGATGGAGTCAAGCTTCATCTCGTGGTGCTTCATGATCTGCGTGTCCACTTTCCGCTTATTCGATCTCCTGTAGATTTGCTTCAGCAGGGTGCTATGCAGGTGTTCGAAGAGGTTGGTGCTGTACTCTTGCACATTCCCAGCTCGTCGAATGCCAGGGATGAAATGAGTCATCAAGTGTGTTTTGATGAGGTTCCACCTTGATTTCTGCTCGGGGAAGGCAGCCGTGAGTAGTTTCACCAGCCTGGGATGGGTGGGAGCATGAATAAATGAAGGAGTATATGGATAAGCGTTCAATTTGTAAGGGATGGAATCACTAGGGGAGTTAGATGGTTTAGGTTGTTTCGTTTGGTGAGGTACCTTGTTGATTTGGCTTGTAGTTCGGAAAGACTTCTCTCGGTGTGAGAGGCGGCGTTGCAGCAGAGATACCAGTCAAGGTATGCTCTGATGGCCTCCAGCTGGGGCGAGCCGACAACGTCAGCCACCAAAAAGATCAACACCTGGATGCATGCAGCATGGTGTGTAGGAAAGGTGAGAGAAAAGATTGAAGGAGCTTCTTCCCATGAATGACTTCAAGCGAGTTTACAGCAGTGCCTTCTCCACCAGCCCATCTTCTCTCCCCTTCCTCTTCCGTCCCTGCCCAGCTCGGCCCACTGTTCCCACCCTCCCCCTTCCACCTCTCCATGGTCTGCAAGGCCTCTAAGCATCATACCTGCATGACCGATCGATGTTCAAAAGCTGCGACTTGTGCCCCGGTTTTGAAGTATTCGCTCCTCGGAAAACGCAAAGAGTTGATCCGTGTTTTCAGGGTGAGCCGTAGAAGGCGCCTGCGTATGGTGGGATGGAAAGATTTCGGATATGGGGGGCGGCAGATCAGGATGGAATAAAGTTGAGCTGACACACTACCATGTGCTCACAAATGTAGGCTTGACATGCCAACATTGTAACGATGGCTTCTTGAAGGGGCATCTCCAGGCGGGTGGTCCAAGGGGTACTCACAAATCCAGAATCTTCATCATCGTTGGGTGTTGGGCGCGGATGCACACCACGATGTGGTCCAGCATCCCCAGGTCTGCCTGGTGCATGATGTCCGCCATGACAGCGAGAAAAGGATTTCCCCACGGCAATGATCCAACCTGCCACTTCCATAAAGCACACTGTGCTTGTGGTACAGCGCAGCAGGGAATGCGATGGTTAGGGAAACACTTGACACCAATAGACACCAGAGGTTGCTGTGTCTATGAGCCTACGAGCTGGCATCAAATACATACGTCGATGTCGAACGTTGAGTACAACTTCAGCGGATTGTCATCCGCTCCGGCAGCGACTCCAGCTGCCTCGTCTCTAACCCACTGCTGTTGTGCGGGTGTGCGAACGTTGTTGAGTAGCTCCACAGATGACAGGCTTTCCTGTGGTGGGCGTTGGAATTTTTAGCATAAAGGGGACGAGCAAGAGAGACCATTAGACACACACATACACAGACATGTGGACATGTGGTTGGGGGCTGCTCACCATCCCAGCACTTACCATCCCAGCACTCACCATCCCAGCACTTACCATCCCAGCACTCACCATCCCAGCACTCACCATCCCAGCACTCACCATCCCAGCACTCACCATCCCAGCACTCACCATCCCAGCACTCACCATCCCAGCACTCACCATCCCTATCACTCACCATCCCAGCACTCACCATCCCAGCACTCACCATCCCTATCACTCACCATCCCAGCACTCACCATCCCAGCACTCACCATCCCAGCACTCACCATCCCAGCACTCACCATCCCATCACTCACCATCCCATCACTCACCATCCCAGCACTCACCATCCCAGCCACTCACCATCCCAGCACTCACCATCCCAGCACTCACCATCCCAGCACTCACCATCCCAGCACTCACCATCCCATCACTCACCATCCCATCACTCACCATCCCAGCACTCACCATCCCATCACTCACCATCCCATCACTCACCATCCCAGCACTCACCATCCCAGCACTCACCATCCCAGCACTCACCCTCCCATCACTCACCATCCCATCACTCACCATCCCAGCACTCACCATCCCAGCACTCACCATCCCAGCACTCACCATCCCATCACTCACCATCCCATCACTCACCATCCCAGCACTCACCATCCCTATCACTCACCATCCCAGCACTCACCATCCCAGCACTCACCATCCCAGCACTCACCATCCCAGCACTCACCATCCCATCACTCACCATCCCATCACTCACCATCCCAGCACTCACCATCCCAGCCACTCACCATCCCAGCACTCACCATCCCAGCACTCACCATCCCAGCACTCACCATCCCAGCACTCACCATCCCATCACTCACCATCCCATCACTCACCATCCCAGCACTCACCATCCCATCACTCACCATCCCATCACTCACCATCCCAGCACTCACCATCCCAGCACTCACCATCCCAGCACTCACCCTCCCATCACTCACCATCCCATCACTCACCATCCCAGCACTCACCATCCCAGCACTCACCATCCCAGCACTCACCATCCCATCACTCACCATCCCATCACTCACCATCCCAGCACTCACCATCCCTATCACTCACCATCCCAGCACTCACCATCCCAGCACTCACCATCCCAGCACTCACCATCCCAGCACTCACCATCCCATCACTCACCATCCCATCACTCACCATCCCAGCACTCACCATCCCATCACTCACCATCCCATCACTCACCATCCCAGCACTCACCATCCCAGCACTCACCATCCAGCACTCACCCTCCCATCACTCACCATCCCATCACTCACCATCCCAGCACTCACCATCCCAGCACCCCCCCCCCCTCCCAGCACTCCCCATCCCACCACCGCCCATCCTTGCCATCCCCATTCCAGCACCTCCCATCCCAGCACATCCCCACCCCGAGTGTACATGTTGACGTACCCTGTCGACATAGCAGAGGCTGCACGGCTTCATGCAGCCCTGGCCAGATTTGGTGCATGTCAGTTTCCCGGACTCGGGATAGTCACAAGCCCAAGCGTACAGCAAAGGAACGACCCATCGCTCGATGCCCTCTGAGTCCAGCAGCATGACACCACTGCACAGTTTTCGAGCAGCCATGAAACAGGGTGGAAACACAGGCTGGTTAACAATATTCATTACTTCCAAGCACCGCACTCCTTTTATGGGGCATGACTCACCAATAAGATAAAGATTCGGTACACACCAGCATTTGCACCACTCACTTGTCTTTAAGGCAGAGAAGTGGCTCAAGTAGCTTAGCAATACACGCGTTGTAGAGCTCCACCTTCAAGTGCGACGGCATGTTCGAGGGTGGGATGGGTAACAGCGCCAACAGGGAGTGCCCGGGCCGGCCCCAGCGTTTGGGGAATGCAATATTCCCCAGTGTCATCATGACCGGGTGCGCCTTCTTCCTCCCGTTGTTGCTCAAGTGCGTGACGTCACTGTACAGTATCAGCGCCGCAACGATCTTGTCCATGCCAATGAATTCCTGCACATAACGCAAAGAATGGATAGATTGGGTCGAGGGGAAAGGCAATGTCTCTGCGCGGTAAACATTGCTGACTCGAAAAGGGCACAACAGCTGAAAGCTGGGACCATGCATGGTGAGTGGTAGGTGTGTAACATATGCAAGGTGCGAGTGATGTGAGGGGAGTGTAAACTACCCATCACCTTGCACTCACAATCTCTGCACCTCCCGTCCCATCACTCACCATCTCTCGCAACTGCAAAAAGCTATCAATAGCCCTCACCTGTGCTTCTTGCCACCATGTGCCGGTTTCTGCAGTGGAATATGCCCGATGCCCACTCTCGCTGTCCTTGTCTCTCCTCGGTCCCATTCTGAAGCCAGGCGCATTGTGCTTGTGCCTAAACATATCCGCCAGGGCCTGCAATATCATATACAGCACGTACATAGGCCGGTTAGCACCCTACACAATATGAGAGTGACGCATGATGCCGCAGGACATGTAGTCAAGCCAATGCCCTTCAGTTTCATCCCGGGTACCCGAAACTACGTCAGCAAACTCACCCTCAGTGGATCGCGGTGAAGCATCACTTGCGGTGGAAAGCCCTCCACATAAAATGTGGTCGACTCGAATCCACGTCCCGTGTCAGCCAGATATTCCTTCTGTAGCATCTCCACATCACGGAAGCTACGGACATTCCCCTCTACCAGCAGCGGGGCCAACTCTGGATGGATAATTAGCTGCAGCACCTTGTTAGTATCCATGTTCGATAAGCCCATGCCGCCATTCAGCGAATCGAGTTGCTCCAACAGGTGTATCAAAGCGGGATGGATGTCGCTGCCATCGGGAAACGAAGGCCTGGCAGCAGAACCGAATCCAGGATTATCTGGACATGTGGTTGGGGGCTGCTCCGCCCCTTGGCTGGACGACTGGGCCGTTGAGGGGTGTGGAGAAGATCCTTCAGGATCAACACGACTCTCACAGCCCACGCCACTAGACGATGTTGGCAGTGTCTCTTGAGTTGCATCTTGAGACGCGGAACTGCCATGTCTGACGAAGTGCGGGAGCGCTGCAGGCACAATGTATGCTATGTTAGGGCGCCTATGACCACTGCCTGCGCGATGCTCTGCAGAGTTGGGGTTGCAGGGTGTGTTGCCAGCCCGGTGCCTTCCTAGGACGAAACAGTCTGAAAACTCTCGTCCACAGTGTGCACACCGAACAGGACTAGAACGATCCATGGCAGCGCGACATTAGTCCGTCGTTCCTTTGCCTCTGCATATCGCCGTGGCGTTTAAATATGCACCCGCTACAAAGAGTCGATGAATAGCGAGAAGGCCATTCAATATAAGGTAGCGGATGGACATCGTGACGGGGAATAACGCTACAGTGCGAGCTACCCAAAGGCACGACAGCCATGTGATTACGACGAGTCGCTGACGGCGCGACCTGGGGGCACGATATGAGGTGCAATACACGAATCGCGAGGAGGCGGATCGGGAACCTTGACGAAATTAGGGTTTGCAGCCTTCAGGATAGGGTTGGTGTGTGCGTGCAGCGCCTGATTCCCTGTGCCTCATACCACGACTTCAAACTTTCGAAAGTCGACTGCAATGCTATTCACGATTTAGACACAACACTGTGCACACAAATGATAAGACGTATGCATAACAAAATGTGCCATTCATAGATTTGAACAATGATATTAACTGAACCCACTATAAAAAATTATGTAACCATGGTTTCATTTAACCGACCCTACTGACTACTGACTATTGGACTAATATGTTATAGGATAGGAGATCTGGCCTTGCCCCATATGACGTGTGAAAAGAATGAACAGGAATGAAATGACTAAGGAAAGATTGGGTACAAATACAACCCTAGAAACCCTGTACCCCATATGTGCTACCCCACTATAGCCTACAGCAAATATGTCATATAAATCTGACACACCCCCATAGGCAAAGTGGGGGAGAACAAGGGGTCACAAGACCAGTCAAGTAAAGCAAAGCAGAGCAAGCTCAGGGTGGATCACAAAGTCACCACACAGTCCGAGCACAAGAGCAGGGCCAGAGGCCAGTTCACATGCAGGAGTACAGACATATATATATAAAACTAGACAAGCAAGAGCAGGTATATATATGTCACAGTACAAGTAAAGTCAAGAGGAGAGCAAGTGAGGCAAGACAGGCACAAGACCCAGCTGGGTGCAAAAGCGCTGATGGTCACAAGGCGCGAGTGCCTTGGTGAACACATCAGCAGTGTTGGCCTCAGAGGCCACGTACGCAAGTCGCAACTGACCACGCTGCTGCAGCTCACGAGCAAGGAAGTAGCGGAGAGCAATGTGCTTCGTTCTGTGCTCCAAGCGCTGCTCTCGACACAAGGCCAGCATGGCCTTGTTGTCTACGTACAGCACTGGAGGAGAACGAGGCGGCTCTCCAAGGTCAGTCAGCAGGTAGGTGAGCCAGCGAAGCTCCTGTGCAGCCATGGCCCCGGCGTAGATCTCAGCCTCACAACTGGAGCCGAGAACCGAAGACGAGCGAGTAGACCGCCACGAGACAGAGCCGGAACCAAGGCTGAAGGTGTAACCCTGTGACGACCGCTGCGTAGCCTGGTCGTCACCCCAAGAAGCGTCCGCGTGGCCGGTAAGGACCACTGGACTCCGCCCTCCAAGCACTAGCCCCATGCCCGACGTACTGCACAGGTAGCGCAATACCCTCTTCGCTGCAGCCATGTGCTCTGGTCGGTGTCTCCCAGGAGCAACATAGCGTGCAAGAATGCTCAGAGGGTATGCAAGGTCAGGTCGTGTGCAGGTCATCAGGTACATGAGGCAGCCAACAAGCTCTGCATACGGACCACTCGACTCTACGGACTCATCCGAAGGCAGAGCTGAGAGTGAGTGGCGAGTAGGCAGAGGAGTGGCCTGAGGCGAGGAGTACGTGAAGCCGAAGCGCTGAAGGACCTGCTGCACCATGTGTGACTGAGTCAAGGTAATGGTGCGGCGTGCTCTGTCCCGAGTGATCTGCAAGCCAAGGTAGCTGCGCAGTTCACCCAGGTCTGTGCACGTGTGTCTCTTCAGCAGCTCGGACTTCACGTAGGCGAGTCCAGCAGTGTCCGCTATGGCAAAGACCAAGTCGTCAACGTACACGAGGATGTAGAACGGCGGCAGGGAAGTGTCGGTGCGAAGAAACAGCGACGGGTCAGCAGTAGAAGGAGCAAACCCAAGGGCCGCAAGCGTAGTCCTCAGTGTGTCGTGCCACTCACGCGGTGCCTGGCGGAGACCGTAGACTGGCCGTCGGAGGCTCCACTGGGTGCAAGGAGGGAAAGTCCCAGTGAAGCCAGGTGGACGGCGAAGCCAGATCTCCTCGTGCAGGCTACCCTGCAAGAACGCAGTGCTGAAGTCGAGAGAGTGAAGCTCGTAGTCGCGCTGAGCGGCTATGTGCAGCAGCACCCGAAGAGTAGTCATCTTCGGGGTGGGAGAGAAGGTCTGAAAGTAGTCAACTCCCTGCCGCTGACTGAAGCCACGAGCGACGTACCGTGCCTTGAAGACAGGTGGAGAGCCCGGCGGCCGCTTCACCCTGAAGATCCACATGCCACTGACGATGTTCGCCCCGTAGGGGGAACCGCGTCAACGTAGGGGGATGGGAGGATCATGATACCATTACTAAGATCCTCCCAGGAGTGCATCCCAATCCAAAATGTCTAGGCTATCAATCGGCGCATTTCCCCATAAGCCTGCCCAGAACTTGTACAGAACAGCATTCGGTAGCACGTTTGTCGAACGACCAACCAAACGTGCTCCGACGAGGCCCATTTTGGGATGGGAGGATCATAATACCATTACTAAGATCCTCCCAGGAGTGCATCTCAATCCAAAATGTCTAGGCTATCAATCGGCGCATTTCCCCATAAGCCTGCCCAGAACTTGTACAGAACAGCATTCGGTAGCACGTTTGTCGAACGACCAACCAAACGTGCTCCGACGAGGCCCATTTTGGGATGGGAGGATCATGATACCATTACTAAGATCCTCCCAGGAGTGCATCCCAATCCAAAATGTCTAGGCTATCAATCGGCGCATTTCCCCATAAGCCTGCCCAGAACTTGTACAGAACAGCATTCGGTAGCACGTTTGTCGAACGACCAAGCAAACGTGCTCCGACGAGGCCCATTTTAGGAAGGGAGCATCATGATGCCATTAATAAGATCCTCCCAGGAGTGCATCCCAATCCAAAATGTCTAGGCTATCAATCGGCGCATTTCCCCATAAGCCTGCCCAGAACTTGTACAGAACAGCATTCGGTAGCACGTTTGTCGAACGACCAACCAAACGTGCTCCGACGAGGCCCATTTTGGGATGGGAGGATCATGATACCATTACTAAGATCCTCCCAGGAGTGCATCCCAATCCAAAATGTCTAGGCTATCAATCGGCGCATTTCCCCATAAGCCTGCCCAGAACTTGTACAGAACAGCATTCGGTAGCATCATTAGCTACACTAGCTCATCATCCAACCAACCCACCTAGAGTGCTCCGTAGGAGCTGAAAATGGAATGGAAGGTTCACAACACTACTTAAATTCACTCCACAAAGAATGCGCTCTGTCCAAAATGTATAGGGTAGGAAATCATGGTTACAGAGTCATTCCCCCTCTCTATTACATATCACTTACCCTAGAATCCAAACATTGCTGTCAGGGACGTCGCGATGCAGACCGTGACGAAAGAACCTTCAACATATCCATCCTTTAGTTACATCTAAGACTATGCCATTTTATGAATGGTCCCTTGGCTACTTGAGAGTGTAGTGTCTCTGTAGAATGATCCCATAATGTATCATTTCTATCGAACCCACTTGGAAGGATGATGGTATGAACTATGCTGCCTGTCAGAGCAGTCTCGTTTTGATTGGTGCTTTGGTTTTACCTCAAAGTGTTCACAGTCACCCGTTGCCAACTGGTTTTGTTTGTTGTTGTTTAAAATGACAAGACTGCCTTATGACCACCTGTAGCTAGCGTAGATGTTGTGTTCCAGCGATATTTTAACTGAGCACTGCGACTACTGCGGCAGCCTCAGCCACTCTTATGAATACTGTACTTGGGGCATGCGAAGAATCATCGCGTGTTGGGCAGCAAAATGGTGTGGCGAAAACGCCACGGGAGCTTTCGACAGAAACAAGACAAGGACAACTGCAACGCATTTGGAGTTTTGTGAAGTTGGCGAAACTTCCCACGTGGCCAGTTGGTAGTCGTTTCCATCTAATGTTGTCTGTAAAATTTTACCCAGTGAAAAACGCGGATGTTGCACGTATAGCGCTAAGTTTCGGTGGGGCCGGGAAGCAGCCATTTGTTCATCCAACCGATGACTTCCGTCTAAGCTCGATATTTTGGAGGTGCTACGGGCTGCGCGAATAAATGTGCCAAGCCTGGTGCAACCGTACAGTACGGTGAACCTGCTTCACCACACTCAGTCTATCCTTATTTTATTGTCGTGGCTTTTTTTTTTTTTCATTCGGAGGACATGCCAGTACTCGAAACACCCGAAACAAGGCATCACTCGAAACAGCGTGAAACACTCGATTTAACTAAAACAGGGCCTAACTAGGATCCTCATACTCAACCGTTGTTACTCACCTAATACTACAATGTTGGCGAGACGGACTCCCAAACGCTCCTACTGTAACAAATAAAAATTCCGTGGCAAAATATTCTACAAGATTCGAAAACAACAGAACTAAACAGTGTGGAATTGCCACGCTGTAAACCGCAATGCTGTCAGGTGGGCAAGGTCGCACTTGTCGTCTTGTACAAAACCAACATGAGCGCGTGAACCTCGTTGCACAGCCCACGGTAACGCCTGGCAGAGTCTCAGCGAGCATCGTGTCACACGATGCTGTGGTCTCAAGCTACCGCTCGTGATAGCAGTCACGACGCAGGAACACCAACTCCTTCCCGTTGGCTTAGGTCCGGTCACCTTTCCCCCCTCTTTTTTCAGCGACTTACTCATGCTCCCCTCAATCAGCAACACGGCGCAGGTTTTCAGTGCCTAATATCCGCGACGTCGCGCTCTCATTATCTTACCGTCGGTCCGCATAGACGGCCGCGCATAGTTGCACGTATCGATGTGCATCTCACTGTCTTACCCTCAGCCGTGACAGTACCGTGAGAGCTCCATAATCTCACTCACCACCGCCTCCATTCATGGCAACTCGCGGCGCCGCTCACGCCATCCACCACCCCATCGTTAGCGTGCCGCGTCGACCCTTCATGAGTGTAGCCGTTCCGGAATCGTGCTACTTGGCGACCCGTATCGTGACCGCGACCGAATCGCTCAAAGGTACGTCTCTTCATCGAGTTCCTTGGTCGTTTAAGCGATACATATCCTGATATAAAACGGTCCATTATAAACGTAGTAAGTACCGATCCCCTCTTCCGCTACAATTAGTCCCTGCAGTTCCGGATTTCTAACGTCCTATCATCTTTCCCGGGGCTATTGCGCAACATGTCGACTAAACTGCAGGTCTCGAAGGCGGTGACCAAGAAAAACACAGCCACGGGTGGCCCCGTGCAAAGTCCAGGCAAGGTGCAGAATGGTACGAAGAAGAAGAGCACGGAGGCTGCACCCAAACCCCGGACATCTAGCGGTGACGGCCCTCCTGGTGGCGAGGTTCGCAAGTCCAGCCGCCCTCGAAAGGCGAAAGTGTGGTTTGAGGAAGGGGCGGATGCTACCGAAGAAGGTGCTGATCCTGTTAAGTATGTCGGGAACAACCTTGATGGCGAGGATGTGGACAACCAGAAACACGAGGACGAAGCTGAGGCCAACGGCAAGTCGGGTGACGTGGGCGAAAACGAGGTGGACGAGGCAGTAGACGAGGCCGGCGACGAGCCGGAAGAGGAAGACTTGGCGGAGGACGATGCTGAAGAGAAGGCGGATGAAGAGGAGGGTGACGAGGCGGAGGAAGAGGAGGGTGACGAGGCGGAGGAAGAGGAGGGTGACGAGGCAGAGGAAGAGGAGGGTGACGAGGCGGAGGAAGAGGAGGATGATGAGGCGGAGGAAGAGCAGGATGACGAGGTGGAGGAAGAGGAGGACGAGGAGTCTGAGGAAGGGCAGGGGGATGAGGACGAGGCTGAGAAGGGAAGTGAGAAAGGCGATTCGGCGGAAGTGGGGGAAGGTGCGGATGCGCACAAGCCTCAAATCACAAGAAAGGGTAGCTTTGACGAGATGCTGGAAGAGCAGGGTGACGCTGATGACGAAGACATGGAGGATGAGGCTGTGGCTGAGGAACGTGCTATGCTGCTTGGGAAGCTGAAGGCACTCGATGAGATCAAGGAACCCGTTGTCAGCTCGAAGCCTGCTAGAAAGGGTGTGAAACGTCTTCCGCGTTCAGAACCCTCTAAGGTTCCTGCTAAGCCACCGCGAGGGAAAGATGCAGTCACATCGGCTAAGGGAAAGGATAAAGTTCTGGCGACCGATAGTATTCTCGGTGGGAAGTCGAAACGGGAGTTCGCCTTGGTGGTTGGCGGTGCGCAGAAAAAGCAGAACACCGGTGAAGTGTCGGCCAAACCGAAGTCAACTCCTACGGCAGCAGGCGCTGGGACCAGCGGGGGAAAGGCCAAGGCAGGCGCTGGGGCAAGCGGGGTAAAGGCCAAGGCAGGCGCTGGGGCAAGCGGGGTAAAGGCCAAGGCAGGCGCTGGGACCAGCGGGGTAAAGGCCAAGGCAGGCGCTGGGACCAGCGGCGTAAAGGCCAAGGCAGGCGCTGGGGCTAAACCGACCTCTAAGGAGGCCAACACAAAAACCAAAGGTCAGACTTTTGCCGCATTGTATAGCACTGCGGGATGGTACCACTTTTTATTCGTGGCATGCTTGCTGATGTCACGTCGCTTTCCATCCTTCCCTGCCGTCGCTTTCCTCCCATCCATGCCGTCACCGTCATCCCATCCCTGCCGTCACCTTCATCCCATCCCTGCCGTCCCCTTCATCCCATCCCTGCCGTCACCTTCATCCCATCCCTGCCGTCACCTTCATCCCATCCCTGCCGTCACATTCATCCCATCCCTGCCGTCCCCATCATCCCATCCCTGCCGTCCCCTTCAACCCATCCCTGCCGTCACCTCTGACCCGTCTCTCAGTCACCTTTCCTCCATCTCTTCCGTCCCGTATACAATCAACAGCTCCCAATCAGTACTCTGGAGCTGCACCACCGGTGAAGGTGATCACTGAAGCCACCAAGCGCTATGAACTCGTCCCTGTCAAGAAAACCCCGTTTGTGGCGGCATCCTGTGATCGCCGCCAGGAGCATGGTGGTGTATCAAACGTGGAGCTTGACCAATTCGAGCGACGCGTGATGGCAAGGTTCGCCGAGATGCTGTCGGCCATACTTCGGGGTGCTGGTCCATCCGTCCCAATCGGAGCGCCTGCAGCAACTCCTCCTCATTCTGGCCCGAGCACCAGCTCGTCGGAAGGCCTTCCCTCCAGCAATAGTCCCCTAGCAAACCATCGCGAAATCGTGTACAAAGCGGTAGTCGACTTCAAGGTGCGTTCCCTGTGATACACTGTGTGTGCGTTTCCTAGATTGTTGCTCGACCTGTCTGCCCCCTCTCCCCTCAATCATAAGCCCCATTTGCTTCCCCTGCTTGGAACAAGAGAGTTGAAGCTTTTCCTTAACACTGACACATTCTGTGCCATCCAGGCACCTCCTAACCACAACATTAAACCCCGCTTGCTTCCCCACCCAGGCCTAGGGAGGTGAGGCTTTATGTAAACCCCAACTCCCCTCTGCTTGCCTGCCCACTCTCCCCTCAACCCCAAACCCCGCTTGCTTCCCCATACAGGCATAGGGTGGTGAGGCTTTACCTAAACCCCAACTCCCCTCTGCTTGCCTGCCCACTCTCCCCTCAACCCGAAACCACACCTGCTACCCTAAATACAGGCCTAGGGAGGTGAGGCTTTATCTAAACCCCAACTCCCCTCTGCTTGCCTGCCCACTCTCCCCTCAAACCCAAACCCCGCTTGCTTCCCCATCCAGGCATAGGGAGGTGAGGCTTTACCTAAACCCCAACTCCCCTCTACCTGCCTGCCCACTCTGCCCTCAACCCGAAACCCCACCTGCTACCCTAAATCCAGGCCTAGGGAGGTGAGGCTTTATCTAAACCCCAACTCCCCTATGCTTGCCTGCCCACTCTGCCCTCAACTCTAAACCCCACTTGCTTCCCATCCAGGTTTAGGGAGGTGATGCTTTACCTAAACCCCAACTCCCCTCTGCTTGCCTGCCCACTCTCCCCTCAACCCCAAACCTGACTTGCTTCCCCATCCAAGCCTAGGGGGGTGAGGCTTTACCTTAACCCCAACTCCCCTCTACCTGCCTGCCCACTCTCCCCTCAACCCTAAACCCCACTTGCTTCCCATCTAGGTTTAAGGAGGTGAGGCTTTATCTAAACCCCAACTCCCCTCTGCTTGCCTGCCCACTCTCCCCTCAACTCGAAACCCCACTTGCTTCCCATCCAGGTTTAGGGAGGTGATGCTTTACCTAAACCCCAACTCCCCTCTGCTTGCCTGCCCACTCTCCCCTCAACCCCAAACCCCACTTGCTTCCCCTTCCAGGCATAGGGAGGTGAGGCTTTACCTAAACCCCAACTCCCCTCTGCTTGCCTGCCCACTCTCCCCTCAACCCCAAACCCCACTTGCTTCCCCTTCCAGGCATAGGGAGGTGAGGCTTTACCTAAACCCCAACTCCCCTCTGCTTGCCTGCCCACTCTCCCCTCAACCCCAAACCCCGCTTGCTTCCCCATCCAGGCATAGGGAGGTGAGGCTTTACCTAAACCCCAACTCCCCTCTACCTGCCTGCCCACTCTGCCCTCAACCCGAAACCCCACCTGCTACCCTAAATCCAGGCCTAGGGAGGTGAGGCTTTATCTAAACCCCAACTCCCCTATGCTTGCCTGCCCACTCTCCCCTCAACCCTAAACCCCACTTGCTTCCCATCCAGGTTTAGGGAGGTGATGCTTTACCTAAACCCCAACTCCCCTCTGCTTGCCTGCCCACTCTCTCCTCAACCCCAAACCCCACTTGCTTCCCCATCCAAGCCTAGGGGGGTGAGGCTTTACCTTAACCCCAACTCCCCTCTACCTGCCTGCCCACTCTCCCCTCAACCCTAAACCCCACCTGCTACCCTAAATACAGGCCTAGGGAAGGGGGGCTTTATCTAAACCCCAACTCCCCTCTTGCTTGCCTGCCCACTCTCCCCTCAACCCGAAACCCCACCTGCTACCCTAAATACAGGCCTAGGGAGATGAGGCTCTATCTAAACCCCAACTCCCCTCTGCTTGCCTGCCCACTCTCCCCTCAACCCCAAACCCCGCTTGCTTCCCCATCCAGGCATAGGGAGGTGAGGCTTTACCTAAACCCCAACTCCCCTTTGCTTGCCTCCCCACTCTCCCCTCAACCCCAAACCCCACTTGCTTCCCCATCCAGGCATAGGGAGGTGAGGCTTTACCTTAACCCCAACTCCCCTCTTGCTTGCCTGCCCACTCTCCCCTCAACCCGAAACCCCACCTGCTACCCTAAATACAGGCCTAGGGAGGTGAGGCTTTATCTAAACCCCAACTCCCCTCTTGCTTGCCTGCCCACTCTCCCCTCAACCCGAAACCCCACCTGCTACCCTAAATACAGGCCTAGGGAGGTGAGGCTTTATCTAAACCCCAACTCCCCTCTGCTTGCCTGCCCACTCTCCCCTCAACCCGAAACCCCACTTGCTTCCCATCCAGGTTTAGGGAGGTGAGGCTTTACCTAAACTATGACTTATGCTCTGTCTGCCCCCTCTACCATCAACCCGAAACCCCACTTGCTTCCCCACTTGCTTCCCTGCCCTCTACCCTCAACCCGAATAGCCACTTGCAAACCCTTACCGCGTGCCTTCCATATCTGTCACCTCCCCTATCCCCCTCCAATCTACAGGAATTGTCTAGGCGTGTAGCAACACATCTTTGCTTCAACATTGAAGCTTCAATGATTCAGTTCTACCCATCTGCGGAAGAGGCCTTAGATCATGGGTTTAGCGAGTTTGTGTCGCCACAGGTTCTGGCCTCGTTGCGTGCGCTCTTTCAGCACAACGATGCCAGCACCAGAGGGGTCTTTTTCGAGCAGCTGTCCTCAACTAGGACTTCTATCAACGGCTGGATGAGAAAGGTGGCACTCACGGCGTTGGGTCGGCAGGCGAACAAGTGCTACTTGGGGAGGTTACCAGCAGATCTGCTTGCCCCACTCGAGTTCTACACGGATGAGGAGCTCATTGCACGTTACAAGGATGGTGAGTTTGTATGAAGCTTTTGATCCCGTAGTTGTTGTTATGTGTGTACCAATAATTTCTATAAGCACTACTTTGTTCCACGTTGCCCATTTCGGTTGCCCTCTAGTCACCATCATGTCACCACCTTTCATCCCTTTGTCTCCTATGACCATGCAATCCCATTTCAGGGGAGAGGGGGCTGGCATGGCATCGGGAGCTCCTCATCCCTTTCGGCAGCCTCATCTTCTCGGTGTCCATCAAGTTGGCTTTGGCGCGTCGTGGGGTCAATTCTGAGAAGATTAAGACCCGCCAGCTGGGTTGGATCCTATATGCGGTGAGTTTATGGACAAGGTGTTATGTTTGTTGCCACGTGTGCGATGAGCGATTTAGTGTTGTGTTAACCTTTTTCTGTTCATTTATTCCACTACATTCCCACCTCATACCCACCACATTCCTACAGTTTGAGTGGCCAATCCTCAACAACGCGCCTGATGGGAAGTTGAGTGGCAAGTGGGAGTACAATCGGATCCAGTACGAGGAGATGTGCACCCGTGTGAAGCGGGAGGTCGAGATCGCTGTCATTGACCATGGTGTCCCATACGCCAAAAACACGAACACATTCAACTTCCCCAACGGCGTCTACATCGACGCGTCTGACATGGAGACCCTTGTCAGCAGGGTGCAGGTAAGTCATCCCTAGGACCAAAACCTTGCTAATATGGCACCGACACTTTGCTTATGTGGCACCAAGATCTTGCTATGGCACCAGCATTGCTGAATTCCTCCCATCTCATCCGTCCCCTTCCTCCCATCTCATCCGTCCCCTTCCTCCCATCTCATCCGTCCCCTTCTTCCCATCTCATCCCTCCCCCCTCTTCCCATCTCATCCGTCCCCTTCCTCCCATCTCATCCGTCCCCTTCCTCCCATCTCATCCGTCCCCTTCTTCCCATCTCATCCGTCCCCTTCTTCCCTTCTCATCCGTCCCCTTCCTCCTATCTCATCCGTCCCCTTCCTTCCATCCCCTTCCGTCCCCTATGCCTCTTTGCACAGGCTGCACGACCTGCACCAGCCCGGGTTGTCACCCCAAACCCGTAATCACGGAGGTTAGCAGCAGCACTAGGGGGATCGGTGCAGGGCGTAGCAGTGGCAGTAGCAACCTGCAGGAGCAGCACGGAGACAGGTGCGGAGTAGCGTAGCAGTCGCAATAGCAACCTGCAGGAGCAACACAGAGACTGGTGCGGAGGGGCGTAGCAGTGGCAGTAACAACTAGTAGCCGCAGCATGGGGACATGCGGAGCAGCAGTGGCAGCAACGGGACAGGTGCGGAGCAGCAGCGGCAGCATGGGGACAGGTGCTGAGCAGCAGGGGCAGCAGGGGGACAGGTGCGGAGCAGCAGGGGCAGCAGGGGGACAGGTGCGGAGCAGCAGTGGCAGCATCGGGACAGGTGCGGAGCAGCAGTGGCAGCATGGGGACAGGTGCGGAGCAGCAGTGGCAGCATGGGGACAGGTGTGGAGCAGCAGGGGCAGCATGGGGACAGGTGCGGAGCAGCAGTGGCAGCATGGGGACAGGTGCGGAGCAGCAGGGAAGGATGTGGCAGTGCTCTTATCATCAGTAGAACCAACCCACCATCAGTAGAAGGATGTGGTAGTGTCGAAGCAATACAGTTGTTCGGTATTGTTTTGCTATATCTGGAGGTACATTATGCTGTAATATGTTTTTGCAATAAAAATGGTTTTTAAAATGAAATTTCATACAAATGGCAGTTTTGTATTGGGCCCAACCAAACTCTAGTTTGGGACCATGTTTGGTCCAACTTGGGTTAAAGCTGAGAGTAGATTTGGTAAAAAAATGGTCCTTAAACTCATCTAAAGTTTGGCCAAACATAGCCCAAACTTCATCTTAGCAACTACACCAATATTGGTCCACACAATGAGACCAATAATGGCCCGATTTTGGACGGAAACACCAAAATTGGTCCAAATATTGACCTATCTAATAGGGGGGGTTTTGTGATGGAGAAAACAAAAATGCGTTAGTAGTGCGAGGAAACTTACAGGTGCGAAGGTTGACGCTCCGCCCATAAATCCAGCGAGCGCATGTGAAGCGAAAGATGCAATCAGGAAAGCTACTGCGAGGGTCTTATAGTAGGTGTGAGCCATGGTGTGGCTGGCGATGGCTGTAATAACGATTAGTTAGAGTATTCAGGGATCTAGCAGCTGCTCAAGTCGTGAGAAATTCGGCTGTGATTCAATGCAATGCAGTGGAGCAATTTATGCTTCAGATTTTGGAATTCCGCGCTTCGTGGTTTTGGCGGCATGTGGGGCAGGGAAGAAAGTCGTTTCTTTGTGGGAGGGTAACACGCTGCCTTCGAAGAATGGCATCTTAGCAAGGGCGGGGCTTAACAAGGATCACGGATTGGTTGCGGCGTCCAAACGAATTCACGCAAATCTATCGCTTGTTACGCTGGACAGTGCTTGTTTCAACGATTGGTTCGCGAACGCCTTCTTCAGTCTCGGCACGGCACTTACTGGGCAGTAACACCCGTACAGGCAGTGCTTGGTCGGTTGCTACTACATGCGCGACTCGAGTTGGAGGAATCTTTCAAAATGGGATCTTCACATTTATGCTGCAGCAACTTCGACAACACACGCTCTCCCATCGTCGCCGTAGATGATACCACGTGACAAACATCCAAAGGGCGCGTAGTTACTTTCATGGTGTTACGTGGGCAACTGAACTGTTATGAGTTGAACCAACACAGTGCGCGGAAGAATTATATAATGAGACTGTTAGGCCCGACGGCCTAAGTCCGCTAAAGAATTAGCGGGGTCGACTAAGTCGAGGATGAAACGCGGCGGAAGACTTTGGCGAAAGAACTATTGGCGAAATAGGCGAAGAAGTTACTGAGTAATTGAAGAAGAGTTGAATGAGAATTGATTGATAATGGCAAGTACAAGCAAGGTTTATATAGCATGCAAAAAACAAGGTTGGAAAGTGGAATGTGGGACCAAGAATTGGAGTGCAAGAAAAGTAGAGTGCCACGTGGCACTAGAGAATCTGAGAAGATAAGGATAATGGTGACTAGGAATGTACTATTCGGAATTAACAGTAAATACCCCTCTAACAGAGACTATGACAACCAGAATGAAGATACTATGAAAAGGAAGAGCAAAAATAGGGGATTTTGGAATGACCATCGATTATTATAACATTACTGAAGGTTCTCCCTTAGCGAACCGCTTCATAACGAAGCAGCGCACATGTACCAGTACCGCGTCAACTCGTATGGAGCACGCGAAGGTCAACAGTCGCAGAAAGCCAATGGTTGTGATCAATGACTGTCCCGCAACCGTCATCGGGGTACATTCCCTTATTACAGCGAAGTTCAACCGTGCTGCGCGGGAACCTGTTTCAAACCTGTTCCCGCTCTTTTCACTTTAAATGTATCCGCCTGCATCGGTCTGGATCTGACGGTTGCTGGTGTCACTTCGATTCTTCTGACTCCTCGACTTCGTACTCGGTAGAGTCGGCTCCTGCAGCATACTCGACTTTGATCGCAACATGGTATGAGAGCGACTCGGGAATCCTTCGCACTGCCACTCTCGAAAATTGCGATATTCGGAAAGTGGCATCCAGCACACAATCGCGTGTAAGAATGGCGGTCATACGAATCCGACGACTGAAGCGCAGCCCAACCTGACTGCGACAGGCGATGAAACGACGACGATCCCTTCCGCCGTCCTCGCACAACTGCTTCAGCGACTCACAAGCTTGGAGCAAGGTCTCCAAACATTGTGGAATGGCGACGCGGGAGCTTCATCCCAACCCATTCAACCGGCCTCCAATGGCCAAAACTCCGCCCCGCAAGGCTTCTCCATAGACACAAATGACTCAACTCCCAAGACATTCTGTCCCAGCGATGAAGCAATTCTCTCAGCGCAATCAAGGTTCCTGAGCATATAAAAAATATAGACAAGTGTGTGCTTTGACGGCAGCGACTTCTATACTTGGAGCTTCGAGCTGGAGCTGCTGCTGCAAAACGCGCAGATTTTTCACTACTTCGACGAGAGCTACTCGGGACCTACGGAGGACACTAACGACGCACGAACCAAGTACTACAACGAATCTCTAATGACATACGGGGTTCTTCTGCGGAATATGTCGCCGACGGAGCAGCTGAGCATTCGCTCATACAAAACCTCGTCTGCTCCAGCCCTGAACGCCTGGCGTCACCTCAACGGTGTGTACCAACCAAAGAATTCAGTGTCATCGAGCCGCCTGCTCCAGCAGTTACTGGAGACAAAGATGGCACCAGGAGAGAAGGCCAACAGTTACCTGAATCGCTGTCGGAGCTTACGCGATCAGATCGCGAAACTTGGGAGCACAATCACTTCCGAGATCTTCGTGAACATCGTGCTCCAAGGGCTCGGCCCAGAGTGGCGGCCCTGCAAGGCGTTTGTCCGACAGCAGGGGGTCATCTCAGAGGCCGCCCTTTGCGCCGCCCTTCTCGTCGAACAACGAGATATGGATCAGCAGCGACCAGCGCCACGACGAGAACGAGAACGGCTCGCCTTCTACGCCGACAACAACGAAGAGCGAAGACCGCGGCGCCTCTACTGCAAAATCTGCAGAAACTTTGGGCATTTGGCAGATCGATGCAAGTACCAATCTCGCCCTCGCCAGACCAATCCGAGCAACTGGTCCGGCCGACAAGACGCACGAGGCGACGTGCGTCTAGCCCAAGGGTATCAACCCCCACCCACGCGCAATCTGAAATCAACGGTTCAGCATCAGCAACAGCAGCCGTCATCGACTGCCCCAGCCCGCAATGTCATGAGCAATATGGCCATGACGGGCGAGTCGCGTCGTCGCCGTGAGCGCTCACCCTCACTTGAGCCAGCACCGCACCCAATTGGCGCGTTCACCAACAACAACCCGTTCAGTTCGCGCCGCGAATTCGCCGACGACGACGACAAGGACTAGAATCTTCTAGTCCCGCTGATTGAGAGTCCCCCGCACGTACTTGATATGCGGGTGGCGCCACTCGACTGGCTCTCGCGCGAGCAATTCCTGAAGTACGACACCTCGCACATCGTCACGCCACGACTGGCGCTGCTCGCACGTGACGACGACAAGCGCTATAACACTTGGTACCTAGACATCTGTTGCGGCCAGCATATGGTGGGCTCCGAGCGTTACATATCCAACGCCGTCGCCACCCCCACAGTCACCCACGTCACCGTGGCCAACAACACACGTCTGCGCGCAAGCGCGCAAGGCATCGTCGTGCTCAAGGCACGCGGGAGCCGCACACACACCACACTCAACGATGTGCTGATCGTCCAGATTCTGCGCTTCAACCTGCTTTCTGCCGCACATCTCATGGACTGCGGCGTCGATCTCAGCGCGGACCGCGAGACACGCAACATCCTACTGCACTACGAATCGCGAGACTTCCCCCGCAGGCATATCGGACGAACGCACTACGAAAATGGAGTGTATGTCATGGATTTCGATATTCCCGACTGCAGCGGCGACTCGCACGAGTTAATCGATCTCGTGCCACTGCGATTTGAGCATATTCACCGCAGGGATTGGAAACACCCTGACGGCAGACCGTGGGTGCCACATCATCCCCACCCACGCGAAACGGCGCTGCACGACCCTGACGCAGACGGCATCTGCCGGGACTGTCACACGCCAACGGCGTCAACCAGCGCCATAGCCGGCCGCGGACTTGCCGCCATCGCCGAAGCCGAGCGGCATGCGCTGCCAGAGGAAGGCATGTCACAACAGGAGCTTAAAGTCACCATGCACGGTGTGTTTGGCACGCCAGAACACCCTCTTATCGGACCCCCCTCCCAACACCTACAGGGAATGCTGCGCGGTACTGGCGTCGGATCTTTTGATGCATAAGGCGTGCCGCGACCCTACACCCACGAGAAATTTTCGGAACTTTATGTTGAGATAGAGGCGAGGAATGAGTGCACTATGAAATGAAACAATGTTGAGATAGAGGCGAGGAATGAGTGCACTATGAAATGAAACAAGTACAAGTACCAACCCTAATTGGGTTGTACCCCCTATGGGCTACCCCACTACAGCCTAAATATATGCATCAGTAATATAATCATCTGACACACCCCCATAGGCAAAGTGGGGTAGAGCAAGGGGTCACAAGACCAGTCAAGCAAAGCAAAGCAAAGCAAAGCAAGCTCAGGGTGGATCTCAAGGATACCACACAAATTCCGAGCACAAGGTCAAGGCCACAAGGCCAGTTCACAAGCAGCAGAGCATATATATATAACAGTGCTAAACAAGCAAGAGCAAGGATATATATATGTAGCAGTACAAGCAAGGTCAAGAGGTAAGCAAGTGAGGCCCAGTGGGCACAAGGCCTAGCAGAGTGCAAAAGCGCTGATGGTCACGAGGCGGAAGTGCCTTGGTGAACACATCAGCAGTGTTGGCCTTAGTGGCCACGAAACGCAGGCGAAGCTGACCACGCTGCTGCAGCTCTTGAGCACGAAAGTAGCGCAGAGCAATGTGCTTCGTCCTGTGCTCCAGTCTGTGCTCCTCACACAAGGCAATGGTTGCCTTGTTGTCGACGTACAGCACTGGAGGAGAACGAGGCCGCT